ACTAATAAAGTAACAAATTACTGACGTATATTTTCACATAGTACAAACAGATATATCCTAGTAGTAAAAATAATAATAATAATACAATAGAAATTATTTTCACATTTCAATGATTCAAGTAATTCCAAGACGACCTTTCATTGCTGTTCACACGTTTAGCTTTCCGATTCACGGGAGTAAAATAAAATATGTTTGTAAAGGCAACAATTTAAATGTCAAGGTGTGACTGAACAATAACGATGGTCAAGGGGCCGTTACCCCCCCCCCCCTACCACCCTTTCACCATCAGCCCCCCTGATATCACGGACCGCCTTGGGCATAGAACTATTAGATGTATTAAGATATGAATAAATTCAAATTGTTGATAATTTTGGGGTGAATACAATGGTTATGGTGGTTTTTGAAATCTTTAGTTATGCCGTTTGTCCGTTCATAACATCGATCTCTAATATTAGATGGTTCATAACACAAATATAGGGTTTTTGCGGTTCCAAAGTGAGCCCAGCTGATCTTGATCATTGGGATTTTAATAAATAAACAGCTGATCTTATACTACGTTCACAAAATTTAGGTGGTTTTATGGGAAGAAATCTATCCCCTCCACGTCTTGATCCATCAAAACAAAGCTAAACAGCTGCAATTTGTCATAACGACAATCAGTTGACAAGAAAGAAAAACGGAAAAGTGGTGGGATAACTTACCATGAAACCGATTGTGAACAGAGTATGGTAACAAAGCTAAACAAGGCAACTCTATTCCATTAAGCAATCATTCTTCATTCGTATTTGTTAAAAAATACCCATGGCTGCGTCTTCATTCGTAATGTAATAAGTAATCATGTATTTTGAAGAAATTGTCGATCGAAAACATTACTATTACTGTATCTCTATCCAAATTTTATCAAATACCTTGAAAAGTAATAAGGCTTAACCAAGACTATTGTATCAATAGTCAAATGTTTAACTAACACAATGTAACTCCGGATGAATATATAAAGGAGTACTTTCGTGTGGTTAAGGTTGTGGAATTAAGACATTTAGTACCTATATTTACATACATAATTTGATTTATTTGTAGCGTCATGTTATTATATTTTACTACCTAACCACAAACGCATAATCATTTTTAAGGCCGATAAACATATTTTTAGTGCAATAAATAATTAATACGTTAAAAGCTAGTGTGAGGTTGTGTGGTGGTTTTTATTGGAGCCACGATAAACAAAGCAGTTTTACACTCAAGGACCGAGCGGCGTGGGCTTGCTGTACAATGACAGCCGCATCATTATGTGATTGTCGTCGTTGTCCTCCATTCCTCCATTCAGCTCACTCGCCATTCGCTCATCAATGCAAACAGACAGTGAGAATCACAAGTAGCATTACAATAGCATTAGCATCATTATACGATGTCGTCCTCCATTCAACTTTCTCATACTTATGCTGATGCAAATTGGAGTTAATGTCAATTAGTTGGCTTAGCGGAAGCATTAATTATTTTATATTGATTTACAATTTTTGTTAAAATATTGATACTATGATTGCTAGAAAATACGGGAAGTAAAAAAGTGGTCCAATAAAGCATATTTATACTTAACACCGTTGATTAACAATACGGTATATAAAGGATAAAGGATACGGTATAAAGGATGGTAAGGAGTGATCGATTTCGATTGGGCACACCAATCATCAGACCCAATTGGCGAATGGCGTAAATAACGAATAAGTCAATAACTACAGCGAGTAAGAATGATACATTGAATATAATAGACCCTAGTTATCCAATAAAACTACAGTTATAAACTTAGTTGAACAATGAAGAATACTAAAGTAAAATTTGCTACATTATTCTCATCCAAACCAAATCTTTTCAAGACTTACCCTTTTATTACTATAATGAACAATCTTTACCACATAATACAAATCGAGGAAATGTCTAAGGTTATAAGTAGCAAAGTAGCAATACTAACTTACTTAATAAATCGTTTGACATTAACTATACAGTATGTTGTTTCTGTGTTTTACCCTAATTTCACTCTGGTTAGTGATTGCTGATTCCGTGAAAGAGTTTATCGATTATCTATAAAACATATCCAGTAGTAAAACTAGAAAGAAACGACGGACATCAATATTATGTGGCTTTGGCCCATTAAATCGATTATTATTCTCTGATATCGCTTGAGGTTGTGGCTGTAATTACGATCGATAATGTACAGTAGAACTCAACTATCCGAATCAATAGGGTTACCACATTCGGATATCAACAATTCGGATGATTGGATTTTTACGAAATTAAGGGTTAAACTTAAAATAAAACAAACAATAAAAGGTCGAAAGATACAAACCTTTATTATTACCGCGATCAAAGAAAGTCTGTAAATATTTCGGATTTATGTTTTCTTAAAAATTAATAACTATTCTTAATACCGAACTGTAATTTTTTTTATTTCTGCAAACGATTCGGATAATTGGCTATTCGGATATTTGGGGTTCGGATGATTTGAGTTATTCTTTTATCAATAAATCGTCATTGCACCTATCAATGAAAATGATAAACACATCGCGCGCTTATCTCTAAGACATGATGGTATTGAAGTTAGAGTATGTAGTTCAGGATGTTACAAATATTCGCAGTGCCAAATATACATCAATGTATAGTTGAACGATGACGCATTGATAGCTTTCTCCTTATCTCTTAGTGTCAACGACTGGACATAGCGTGAATCAAAGAACCAATTTTAACTTGCATTAGTATTTAAGTTGGGTTGTAATATTTAATTTTAATTCTGTTCCCTTAGTATTTGAGATTTGACAATAGTGTTTGATTAAAATGTGATAATTATGAAATAATACAACATTTTTAGCATACAGTTTCCTTGTGTCCAACAGGAAGAAAGGCGTAATTTGTATTTTCAACTTAACTTACTTTCGAATAATAATCGTTGTTGGAGTTTACACGTCGATTGAATCCACTGGTTGAATTTCGATTCATAAGAAATTCTTGTGATGGTTTTATTCCGGATCCAATCCCCATCTTTCTTAAGTTATTTATTAATTAACGTCATTCTCTTAACAAATTAGTAAAATTGTATTCAGTAAAAGTCAAGCATGTAGCTTTAAGCCCCTTTTTCTCAGCTCGTGTGCATCGCAGGGAAAATCTACGCATATTGTTAGAAAGATATTTTCAAAAATGGGCGTTATTTTGGGGGTTGCCATGCTGTTGACGAAATAACAACTAAATATAAACAGAAAATCAAATGGGAGAAATTTCAAACACATGTTTTGTTTACAGCATGGGTTGAAAATAGAGAAGTATACGTACATTACATACTTTTGGTCGAGTTTCCGACCACTGGACGACCTCTAGTACTAATTAATGCATTTTAACCATCCCCTAACGCTCATCTTTAAATTCACTTCTAATTAATTTATCCCTTCGAATTTTACCTTCCAACAGTGTAAAGCAAATCTCACGGTGGAATCGTTCCAAAATGCTCCAATGAAAACTCAGCTCGGTAAGTTTACATCCCAATAATTAGCTTCTGATTAGCTTGGTAAACTCGACGTGACATTTACCTACTAACGACATCGCGCCGTCCACGGACTGGAGCTCAGTAAAAAATAACTCATTAAAATATCACCGAGGATTAAAAAAAATTTTATTTTCGCATCATCAAAAACAATGCAATTTAAAGTGGTGATGTCAATTACCAATAGGTTTGTAGACAATTTGTTTGTGTATAAATATAGTAGGTGGTATTTCATTTTAATTGAATTAAAGAATTAGGATTTGATCCGGTAAATTTGAAGTGTTTACAAAATAAGTCAATTTGCTCGTTTATTCGTTCATAATAATGCGCATGCTAAGTAGCAATAAAGTACGGTACTATTTTTGAAACATGAATTTCATTTCACGGTTGTTAGTCAATTGAATGGTATGATTTAAAAAGCAAACATTTCGACCAAGCTAACAATTACTGGTAATTAATAAGAATCTGATTTACTTTTTTGCTTGCGTTTCTCGAGTAGAAGTTTTCATCAATTTCGGTTGAAAATGTCAAAATTGTTACATTTTATAACTAATAAAGTACACCTGATGAATTATAAAATACACCAGTTTGATGGTTAATAATTTGATTCGACGATTTGACATAGAAGATATATCTTTATAAAAGAATGTATTGTGCTCTCCCCTCCGAGTCTTCCCTAACGTCTCCCTTGTCAAAATTTATTTTTTGTGATGCTCCAGGCTACAAGGTTACCTAATACAGGTCCATTGGGGTCAAAGAAGATTGGGCATCTCAAATCTCACCGCTCGCCCTTCCTTTCCGACCTTGAATAAGAAGGATAATCTCACAAACAATTCAACAAGTCCTTTGAACACCACAAATTATTTTGAGTAAATGAGCGAATAGCATTGTAGTGCTGTAGTAGGTATATTTTCTAATTTTAATTTTGCAGTGAATAGGCTTTGTGATGTTGCAAAATGGGGAAAACTAAATAGTTAATAGTTGTGCTACCGGTTACAATTTGAACAAACAAATCCATACTGGGAAGAGTTCAAAGATTTACATATTTCGAAATTCCTGTTCAAACTAGAAATATATTATATTTTGTAAAATCTGAATTAGAACTAAATATTTATTTACTTTGAAATTAGTTGTAATAAAATTCAGTTAAATAATCATAAATTGTTCGCACATATTTTTATAACATCCAACTAATGCATTAAAAAACTTAAAAAAGTAGTAAAAATGGATGTTGTCGGCAAAATCGTCAAGATTTTACATGCTATCTTATCTTAGATAAACACAAATAGGATACATGTTGTATTATATACTTCGATGGATACATATTACCCCGGATAAGTCCATGTCTATTTTAAATCGTGACAAGAGTATCATTTTACAATAAAATTTCTTACGTGAAAATAAATTGATTAAACATCTTAACGAGATTGAATAGACTGTACTTATAAAATAAATAAATAAAGATTGTCCTTACCGCTGAAGGATTTAATCCTCAGTCTAGTACTTAAAATCACTGCCACAAAATTAGCAACCACTGTAAGTCAACTTGTTCACTATGTCACCGACAGTACGAGGACAAAAAGTACGCGCTATACACGTTTGTCCACTGCTAATCCAACGCTGGACTCTTGACGTCCGACGCCAACTACCGACTGACTGCGGAGCGGAGTGCGGACTGCAGGCGCCCGTTCTGGTTCTTCTCTTCCGTAGAATCGCGCTGACCGTTCCTGCCGCGAACAACCCGGAGTAAACTGGTCTGCGCATGCGCCTCACTGGTCGTCATGGCAACGCGTCAACAAGTGAACAAAGGGATGGGGTGACGTGTCTGTTGATAAGGTAAACATTGCAACTATTCTGCAACTTGGAGACCTTGTGTGCATCATGAGTGATTCGTGTTACAGGATTAATTCTTGATATTCTCCATTTGGAATTAACCTAAATTATAAAGTGGGTCATGTAAATAATCTAAGGAAAATGAGGTACTGTACTATCATGCTAACTCCACTGGACCAAATTATCTTATATTGTGTACAAGGATAACTTGAATCCTTGAATGAATATATGTCTTCTTTGAGTTTTTCTATTCCCGTGTCATACCCATTTGCAAATTGAATATAGATCTACTCCATACAGTAAATCCATTTATAAGAACTGTGTAATAAATTATGGTAAAATTTTTTTAAACAGTTGGTTTTGACCTGGCAAAAATATTTGAGTTACCGTACAGGTTAATCCTACAACAACTAACTAAACATTAGTTTCAAGCTTAAACAAATCAAACGGATTAATCTTTAGGTCTTAAATATTTTTTTACTATTGACAGAATCACAGAATATTTAATCCAGATGTAGTATAAAATAAAATAAACTATTTATAGACTTGTGTCACAACATTTTTGGAAACCAGATCTGCACAAAACAAAAACTGTAGGCCTATAATTAATAACTTACTCTTTTAGCTTTTGAACACCATGTTGAGTCTAATCTATCTATACTAGGCTATTATACTATAGCTATAAGAAGAGGTTTCTGTCTGTGTGTTTGTATGAGCTAAATTAAAAAACTACGGAATCGACTGAAAAATAAAACTACAGCTCAAGGATAGATAGAACTAATTCCAGCTTCAATGTTGACCTAGGACTGTGCTCCATGGGCTTTTAAATTTTTGAGGCGAAAGTTTTAAAAGTAAATATTGATTGGTCTCCAATCTCCATGGTAACAAATAACAAACCCAAACAAGCAGAACTGTCAGATGAATTTTGATTTCAAATTTCCACAAAGCTGGTTCAAACATATTAAATACCCTACTGCACAAATATTAGAACAGAAAGGGTATGGATCATAAACATAAAAAATGATGTCACCTACCGAATGTAAACATTATTTTTAACATTACCATGGATAAAATATACTCCATTAGTAGATTTCTCATCCTTATGGAACAGCTGAAGACAATTTTATTTTTAGTTCTGTACAGGTTTATGTAGTGTTTTGTTTACAATTTGTTTCCCATTACTTAATTGGAACTGTCAAACCATAAGTTAATGTCCATTAGTATAGGATTCTTTCAGTCAAATCATTTCTTTATGTTTATGATCTATATTGAGTCTGTCGTAATATTTGTGAAATGCTGTAATAAGATTTTAAAGGGAAAAAGTCATTGTAAAAGAAATTATTCATGGATATAGGAAATAATTAAGATTCTATCATTACCGTATCAACCTAGGATCTTATCCTGAGTTTAATGAGAATTATATTTAGTTTAAACAGTAATAAAACACCCCTTCCGCAGCAAAGCTGCAGACTAAGCAAATTTCCATTTGTCTAATAATTGTAGTTTCCCTAAAAGATTATAGAAAATTACACTATTGACAGGTTTGGAACTATTGTGATAGCTTTTCGTTTACAGTACTAGTACAAACCATTCAACATGTTATTTGATTACCTTAAAATCTATAATAATCGACTTTGTATGCTAGGTAACATAAATAATTTTTCACAGTCTGATTTTACACAAACATACTATTATCAGGTTAAGTGGTAGTTTTTTTTTTTTTTTTTTTTTTTTTTTTTATGTAGGTAATATGTAAATGTGGTAGGTGTGAAACCATTTTTAAGGCGTTTTCAAAGAACCAACATTGTCTCTTTTGCATACTGACCCTGTTGCAAGGCACGGGTATAGCTCATAGCTGCTAGTTAACAATATGTTATTCCTGTAACACTAATCATTTTAGTAAGTTTGATTGCAACAATGCATATCAGCTGATCGACAATGTAATGAAGTAAAGGATTACAGAACTACAAACTTATGAGCTTATTTTGTCCTTTAAATTAAAGTGTTTCTTTGGGACTTTAAATTTGGAATGCGTAAAAAACGTGGCCTCTGTATAAAATATTTTATGTACTTTTGTAGCATCATGAAGAGACCTAAATCCAGAATCATTGCACTATCAAGATTTCCCAGAATAAAGAACATAATTTTGTTCAAACTGTAACTTGTAACAATAATAATAATTTCTATGCAATTTTATAGGTGATCAAACATTGGTACGGTATATCATATTTTAATCAGAGGTCAAACATCTTGCTTTTTAATAATTCACAAAATTATCCTTCTTCTCATTATTTTGAGGTTAAGTGTGTTTAGTTTGCAAGCAGTGACAAGTTGAAAAGCATAATCAATGATGTTTGAAGAGTTGTGATGGAAAAATCAATAACGATCCCGATGATTGGCAAATCATTGGTATATCAAACCTCCTAGCACATATGTAATTCCACTAAAACCCGACCTACATTAGGATGTTTATCAATACACATTTGTGTTGTATAATAAGGCTGCAAATTTCATTACTGAGGGCATTTGACTCCTTTCCATACGAGCTCAAGTTAAACGACCAAGTCGGAAAATGAGCGAGGGTTGAAAAGTCACCTTTTTCACTTTTTGCCCGTGAGGGGAACTATATTTTTGTCATAATGTAAATGAACTATTATTCAAGCAAACTATTCAAGTTACTAAACAAAAACACTCTTTTTTTAAATAAGCTCCAAAAATGATTTTTCACCACACTATGATGTTTTTGGCTGTATTACATACGTTAATTGGTGGCTGAAAGTTACGTTTTGCTGGCCATGCCAGCTGTCATCGTAATTTGGGGACCGAGCAGGTTTTTACAGGCCGGGGCCGCAAAATCAGCTGTCCGCTTACTTACTTAAAACATGAATGCATTTTAAAAACACAATCAAAATCCATAGCATAGCAATAGAATTGTGTTATTGTCACCGTTGCCTAGCAACTATTTATTTTTATTTTTGCTGATTCCTCAAATTATTTCTTTACATAACCTTAAAGTTGTAGTTGTGTTGACTATTAGCATCAGTGTGCATTATTATAGTGGTGAATAGTGGTAATAGGGTACAGTGTGGTGAAAAATAGCGTTCGAACCACGGACCGAAATGGTTTTACAGCTCTCGATCAATTTAAGTTCTCGACTTCGTCTCGAACTTAAAAACTATCTCGAGCCGGCAAAACCTCATTTTCGGCCCTAGGTACGAAATATACTATTTCTATTTTGTTTATTTTTATTTTGCTATTGTGAACAAGCAGCTGTTTAGTAAGGTGTATTGAGTTCAAATCGTCTACTGTATTATATTTATGTGTCCATTATTCCTGTCTCAATTTAATGCTTTTAAGCTACCCTTTTTCATCTATGATGTAATTTCAATTTTGATTTGTCAGTCTAATAGTCCATGGTACTATTTCCAGTTGAGTCAAAACTGCTAGGAAAGAAAGGGAATAAACACATCAACGCTAAAAATAATAATTTAATGTCAAAACAAATCTCACAATATAAAGCTCCATTTAATAGTAATTTTCTATGAACTTTTCTATTTTACATTTATATAGATGGTCTTCACAATATGAAACTATCTATGGTACATGACTTACACAAATGTTCCTGGAATGAATAAATGTCAGTAAACATAAATATTGTTGTTTTTATGTACAGTATTTTTTTATTAGGATATAAATATGTTGTACAAAACCTGCTATTGAGTATTGCTTTTTGAGGTAAAAGTTAAAGCATTTGCATCGGAAACCCTAGATTTTAGGCCTTCCAACTGCATTTAAATTTTACATATCATAGATATGAATTATCATGATGCTATCAAACACTGTACGTAAAGGTTAGAAAATGGAACAGGTAAATAGATCTTCGATAGCACGCTGTACATAGATCCACATTTTTTTTTCAAAATCTTTTTTTTATTTCTAAGTGATATTTTTTTGTATTGAATGTGAGCAAAGAAAATTTCTGAAAGAAAATTTTAAAATATCAGACATAACAGCGTTTACCACAGAGAAGTAAAGGTACGGTGGAATATCGCTTAACCGTGCCCTTTTAGCTCTAGTATGCTGTACTAGAAATCCTTGTGACGAGCAAAGAAGTGCCCGTGCCATGTGCACTGTGTGGAAATTCCTGTAGCACAGGGCACAAGATATTTCTCCACCATGAGTGTTGTAGTACATGATGGTGAGGTGTGGTGGACATCGCCCTAGACACAAGTGACTAGAGCTAGACACCACTTAAGTGTACCATTGGGGTTTCCTCTGTACCTTCCTCTGTGGTTTTACTTAGTAACGTATGAAGAAAGCTAAAAGGTCCTTTTACACGTGTTGTTTGTGTTATAGTAACAATTAACAAAGTAAAAGTTCTATTTTTACACTTTTAAAACATAATAGTTTCCAAGCAATAATTTGTATACTAGACTTAGACTATAACACTATAAAAGAGCTTGAAGTGTTAACTAGGTAAAAGGGTACAATATTTGATTTTCCACTTTATACAGAAAATTATAGAAGTTTTGGGAGACAAAATACATATTAATTAAGTTATTTAAGATGCCAACTCATGACGCTGTTTACATTTTTACATATTTTGTACACTGGATCATAGTAAAAAACTATTTAGTTTCAATTAATTTATGGAAATCGATAAGCTAAATACATCTTTATCTAACTTTCTGCTATATGTTCACAATCCTACAAACTAACAACATTAATGGTATATTACTCCAATTGATTCGCTAAAACATAATTTAATTTAAATACCAAGACCGATAGATGTTTCATAGAAAATACTTTACACACTAAATGTATTGTCAACAAAGATGCACACACAATAGCACATTATTTAGTATTATGTGAATAAAATAAACTTATGTGATTTGAAAAGTGGTATGAAATTTGTCTTAAAGGTTTCAAAGATAGGGGCAAGTGTCCCCAATTAATAAAAGATCACTTGGCCAAAAAAGCTATTTTTCAATAAAACAACTTCATTTAGTAAGTTTCCATTTTCCAACAAAATTGTTATTCTATCTAAAACCTTTTAAGTATAAAATGTTAGTAACTTATTTTGTATTTACTTTCAAATGTGCAAGTGTGTGGGAGAACTTTTATTAATTTTTTTAACAACATGTCAAGTTTCGGGTACAATATGTTCGTATTTGTATCCTTTAAAATAACTGACTAGAGTCAAATGCATTAACTAGATTTAGCAGATTCGTCAAGGAAATAATTTATGGTTTAAGAACGTCACTAAAATTTAACCAGGCTCAAACTTATTTCAAAATTAATAACACTATTATAATAAAACATTTGTACACTTTATCATAAACAGTTTTAATTGTATGTTGGATTTATTTTATATTAATAACCTTAATTATTCTATTCCCTATGTTAACTCAGGCTAAAGAAAAATAATAAAGAGGAACAACAGTTGTGGAAGTTGATTGAAGCACTTATTTGTTAATTTAAAGGTAAACACAAATATTTTATTATTGAAGATTGACAGGAATCATCTCCTAATGAGAGTACTATAGTCTGTATGATGGGACCTGTCTCCTAGCACCCAGTCCCAGTTTGATGGAGGGTCATGAGAGAGATGCCATCATATAGACTATAAATGAATACAAGTAGCATTGATTAACCAATTAGAACTCACCTAAGCAGTTATAACCATTGTTTACATTGATCAATTTCAAAGGGTGATTGAGCCTGACTGATAGCCAATAGCTTCACATTGCAGTATGGTTCAATTCAATTAGTTGACTTGGCTACATGTTAAAATCAATCACAGAGAATACAGTTCAAACTAACGTAAATCTTGGAAACATTAAACTACTACAGATTAGATATGGTAACTTCGATCCATCTAATTAAAAAAATAAATGACTAATTTAATATCGTAATCACAACAATATGAAATCAAACTAATTCACCCCAAATACCTGAAATGGTATTGTTAGAAACACAGCTATTTCAATCCACACAATCGACGCAGATGTTCGATCACTGTTTGCGCCACTGTGAGACAGATGTTACTAACAGCCGGACGTAAGTTAGAAGATGCTCGGAGAGTTTGAGTAGTTCCTATCCCAATATCCTCCAGCGTAGAACCAATCCTCCTGGCCAGTGTAGGGGTTCTGACCGTGACTAAACCACCTGGAAAGTTGATCAAATTAATTAAAAAGAACGAAAAACAGCTGAATTGGTCATAGTGCTCAGCTAGTAATCAAAAGCATGCTGGTTCGACGCTGAGAAAAGTCTATAGGATTGTCCTAGCTAAGAAACAGCTGATCTTAGTGATCTTAGTCAGTAACAAAGCTATACAGATCATCTTACTCCATTCTACACTCACCCTTCATTCATGTTCAACTTAAAACAGGAAGAGAAACATAAATAAAAATGTAATAACACAAATTTAATGCTGATCAAGAAGTTATAAATATAATCTCATGTGTAACACAAACATTTCCATTGACCAAGCTATACGTTGTTTAATATTCCTGAAGAATGAACTTTAACCGATCTATAATTTTAATTTTTTTGGCTCAGTAAAAAATTAAGGAATCCCAAGTAGCATGAAAACTATTTGAACTGGTATTAAAAGACTATAAAAAAAGTTCAATATAAGTTTGGTATTAAAACTGTTTTGATACAAGTTGTAAACAAGTTTTAAATTGTATTGAAACTGTAAGTTGAATGTTGTATTAAAACTGTTTTGATACAAGTTTTAAACAATTTTGATACAAGTTCAAAACACAACGACTTCCTCAGGATCAAACAGGCAACTTTCAGACAAGTAGCCGAGCACTAACCAATCAAAATACACTCATTGCAACAATAAACTCACGAGGAAACAAAACCCAAATTTATGTTCTAATGAACAATCAACACTATCTTTCTTTACTAATATCGAGTGAGAACTACAACAAGTTACCTTGGTATCCATTCCTGTCCCTTCTTGTTTTTCCTTGCCTTACGTGTTTCCCTCTGTTTCTCCTCTAGTCTAGTTTTCTCAGCGGCCGCTCCATCCAGGTCACCTTGTTCAAGCTTCCTGATGTCTGGCCGCAGCCTGTAATTTTTAAAGGATATATTTTTAAAGGTTAAAATTTAGAATGGGACTGCTAAAATCCAACACAGATGACCAAAACCTTAATCCTTAACCTAGAAATCCAAAAACACATGTGTCAGGTTTGATATATTCAAACAGTGTAATGCGAGTCCTGAAAACTCGGCAGTCTGAATTCCTTGGTGACACATGAGGAATTTTTCATAAGATCCACATGCACTTAACCCTACTGCAGTGTTAATTACAACCCTGCAAGCAACTCTCGTGGTAAACTACTGAACTCGGTAGTTTTAACAGTTACACAGTACGTTGCCTTTGCCATTTGGACTCACTTGCAGACTTAGAGAATAGGGCACATGAGGAGTCTGGCATATTAAAAAAAAATATTTTCTCTTAGTTTTAGTTTTTTCCTGATGACCCAAAATTTTTGAGTTTGAGAATCTTCCGATTCACATAATGTTGGGTTTATGGGACTGTTCTGATTGTTTATGCTGGATTTGTGAGACTCTACTGTATGTTTATGTTTACACCAGGTTTGTGGGACTATATTATGTTTGTGACTGTAAGACAAACTGTACTAACCTACTGTCACTCGGACATAAGCGTTTCTCCATTCCTGGCTCGATCTCGTTGAGGGTCATTGCAAAGTATGTGAACTGGTAAAACTGAAACATGAAAATGTGATTTACTAACTTTCCTGTCACACTTTTAACACTAAGAAGTTCCAAGATTTTAAATAGCATGGTCAATTGGATCGGTTCAAAGTAAAATATAGTAATGAAAATTATGAATATTTTAGGAAAATTTGCACCAAAATCAAATCATCTTTTTCATTACTTCCTACACAATCAAAGTTAAAAAAACATTTACGTACGTCAGCGCTGTTCTCCGGCCTAGCCTCACACTCCCATAATGTCGTGGAGTTTGGTATGTCAATGGAGTATGTGGAGTCACACTTGGGGAGTTCCCCTCCCTCTGCTCCGTCCTCACATCCCTCATCAGGCTGCGACAAAATAGATCACAATTTATTGCGTTTATCATAAGGAAAAATCTTGATTTTTCAGTTTGTGTCTGAAGTGAAGAAAAGATCTAATCAATTCTAATCAAAATCTTTTATTGTAGTAAGACAATATACATTGTATTACAAACGTCAACTTGAAACACTTCTAAATATAAATAGTAAAATAATGCTGATGAAAGTACAAAACTGGTACTAAAACACTGATAACACACAAAAGTTTAACCTTTTCTTTATAAATTGGGCTGTTAAAAAATTCAGCAACAGAGTAACATGCACAGTCCAAAAGGTATTTTTTAAACTTAATTTTAAATTTTGCTTCTGACGTTAAGGATTGTAGATCGGCTGGTAATTTGTTAAGCAGTTTTGTCCCGAGATGAGAGGTTTGTCTATGATGGTGTCTTTGCCTGGTATTATAATTATGAATATCTCCACTGGTTAATATTGTTTTTAATTTGAATCTATTCATTAAAAATAATTGAGATGTTAGCTTGGAACACAGCGCATCAATGTGAGGTGTCCAAGAAAAAGTGTTATCAAAAATCAATCCTAGATATGTAATTTCAGTTTCTAAGGCTAACTCAAATTAGTTCATAAATATTACTGGGCTGGCCTCAGAATTGTTGCCTTTTGAAAAATGTATATACAGCTTGATTTGCTTGTATTAACGTGTAAATTATTGCTATTAAAGTATTGATAAAGGTTTGTCAGTTTTATAAAGCTATCTTTCTCTAGGTTATCTAATGATTTATTTTCAAACAAGAGGGCTAAATCGTCAGCGTACATAGTTATGTTTAAGTTAGAGAAAGTCTGAATTTGTATATAAAATGTACAAAATAGGGCCCAAAACTGAGCCCTGGGGAATTTCAAAATTCACTTCTAACTTATTTGAATGTACACAATAGTTAACCTTTACGCTTTGAGTTCTTTGTATGAGATAAGACTTTATCTCATCTGGGGGGGGGGGGGCATGGACTCCCAGATTATAAAGCCTCTAAAAAAGTACACTGTGGTCCAAGCAATCGAATGCCTTCTGAAAATCAAAAAATACCCCGATAGCTTTGTTTTTATTATTTACTGCACTTATTATTTTGGTGATTAAGTCAACGGTGGCATCAGTCGTACCTTTCCCCTTTACAAATCCAAATTGTTCTTCACATACAAGGTTGTTTTTTAATAAAAAATCAAGAAGCCTTTACACAAAAAAAACATTCTTGTAGAAAAGGTAGATATGTTCGCAATCGGACGCCAATTTTCAGGAAAGTTAAAATTACCGGTTTAAAAAACTGGGCGGATTATTGTTTGCTTAGAACACTGGGAAATATGCCCTGCAGTAAAGAGGCATTTATTATATCAGCAAGAGGTTGACATAAGTAATTGACACAGTGACATACAATTTTGTGACTTACACCATCATATCTACAAGAATTTCAGTTGTTTAAATTCATTATAATTTGCTGATTCAGATGCCCCACAGATGCTGATTCAGATGTAATGTTCAGGTTTAATGTTCAAATTTCAACAAAATTTTGTTTTAAAAACCTTACCTCTGCAACAGACATAGACATCGACCTCAAACTTCCTTTGAAGCTGTTTAATTTTGCCAGAACCTTCTTTGGGGTTTGCGCTGGGCTTTCTGAGAAGTGTGGGGGTTTTCCATCCGACCTGTGAAACAAACATTGCTCAAATTTAACTCTCTTCACAATATATTGTTTATAGCTTAACAATGTCTACTGTTAAAACCTATCTCAAAACATACAATGGTAAAATTTATATTTCAAAGAAAAATGTATGAAACCGATTAGTTCTCATATTTAACAATGTTCCAAGTATAATTAAGTTGAAGAAAATTACACAAAACAATGAAAAAAATTGGTCTGCTGACTTACCTGAACTTATCTGCGTTTTCTTTGGCATATATTTCATAAGATGGAAAATCAGTAACTTTGATGAATTCTGTCCACTTCCCATAAATGAAGCTGTATTTTTTCTTTCTGCAATGAAAAAGTATGGTTAATAACCCACTAATAGCAGCGCTGTTAGGTCGCCTCAGACAAAAAAAGTTAGAGGGAAGGATTGGATTGACGGATCTGCCAAAATATAATGGTGGACCCCCTCTCCTAATATGATAAAATATTATCTTTGGCTTTTACAATGTTGAAACAATTGATTTGTTTACACGCCCATTGAATTAGTAAATATTATATTTTGTTAATCTAAGACATGTTTTACAAGCATTAAACGCAGTAAATAGGGGTAGAAGGCAGGGGCGTACCAATGGGGGACAGGTGGGCTCGGGCTCTGCCCAGACTATGGAAACATACATTTTATTTAGTACCCCCCCCCCCCCAAAAATATGATCCCCCACTAGTCAGTTGGCCCCCAAACTCTATTCCTGGGTACGCCCCTGGTAGAAGTGGGGGGGGATATCCACTAATAAATCCTGAGTATGCCACCAAAACAAGTTATAATAGGTTAAGAACAAAGCTTTTGTTCCTACCCCTTGTCCATAAATCTCTAGCTTTTTTCAAATGAGTAAATGAACCGCTCTTCATTCCATGCTGTTACATGAATATTTGAGCACGTGGGTGGAAGGGGGTGACAAAGTGGGCTATGTGTGGAATGTCAGATACATATACATTAATATATTGGTAATAAAGCTACTTTTCAAAGAGAAATTTACTAAAATAATCTACTCACTGCTTATCCATTATGAAACCTTCAACTCTATGTAGGTCTTTAGAAAACCATCCAGCAGGCTTGAAAGTTAGTACAGCTCGGTGTCCTGTGAGAAGCAAATTTACAACTTTAAATAAATGGGTTGAATATTTTAGTAAACAATTTGTTTACTTCTATTTTATAAGGTGTCCTATAAATTACGCCGAACCAACTTAAGTGTATGTTAACTATGTACATTTCTCGATTGAAAGAACAATGTATTATAATGGCTGGGTAAGAAAATAAACTATTACCATGGTGGGATTAAAATGGTTTTAGAAGTTAACTAAAATGTTCTCACTTTTTGAGAGAAGAACTTATAATACAGGTTGCAGCAATACACATATTGGATTATACTATTACTAGCTAATGATTGGTAGTTACATAATTTTAGAACAGATCATAAAAGGTTATATATTTGCTAATATCATTTCCAGTAAATCACACTTGATTGTAACACAGGTATGTCAATTCGGGATGATTAGTTTGTCAACTAGGTACTCAGTTTGTATAACATTACAATTTCCCTCCTAATTTAAAGATTATATAATTTGAAGTACCTATTAGAGTAGACTACCTGAAAATTGGTATTTTAACCCAAATATATGAGTAAAGGATCAGTGTAGAATGTTGTGAGACGATTTGTATCGCTTTGTTACTGACTAAGATCAGCTGTTTCATCAATCTGATCATTTATTTAAGGCCCCAATGAACAGGAATAGCTGGGTCCAGTTTTGAGCCATCAAAAAGCTAATGAATTTTCTCAGAATCAAACCTTTTGATTGTTAGGCGAGCACTTTAACCATTGGCTACCCAGCCATTGGACTATTTCTGTGCAGTATACTCTAAACTTAAATATTTAAAAAGGGCCTAAAATCAGATATTAACAATTACCGTCCAATTTCTATATTGAGTATCTTTTTTTTATATTTGAGAAAGTGATAAATTTTAGATTGGTTAGTTATTTTTAAAGCAATCATCTATTTTATAACAAACAATTTGGATTCAGGAAAATTTTAGCACGAGTTCTGCACTCCCACAGTTTATAAATGAGGTTATCCAGGCTTTGGACGGGTCTCAGGCTACAGCTGGTGTTTTCTGTGACCTGTCCAAGGCTTTTGACTGTGTTGATCACTCAGTCCTTCAGCTCAAGCCAAGTGATTATGGAATTAGGGGAAGTTGACACTCTCTATTGTGTACCTTTCTAATAGAAAACAAAGAACTGTAATCACACTGGATAGGATTAAGTACTATTCACCATGGGAAAACCTATAGGCAGGTGTGCCCCAATGTTCAATCTTAGGTCCTCTATTCTTTCTAATTCACATTAATGACCTTCCTAAAGCTATTGATCAAGAACTAATTTGTTTTCCAGATGATACTCAAGCCTTGATAAAAAATAAAATAATAGTACTTCTGAAATGCTATCTGCTTTGATTCATGACATGGAGGGTTGGTTCTTGAACAATGGATTAAAACTTAATTTTGAAAAAACGCAAACAATAAAATTTTCTGTCAGGATCAATTAGTAATAAAATTAAATCCCTTAAAGTGGCAACGTCTCATAAATTTCTGGGTGTTTACATAGATGAATCACTTAAATGGAATGTTCATCTGAATCGATTAAAAAATAAACTTATATCTATGACAATTGTATTTCTGCACTTAAGGGACTGAGTTCCTAATGAAACTCTGAAAATGGTTTATCATGCTTATTTAGAATCAGTATTGAGGTACGCTATAATCTTATCAGGCTACCAGAGTCAAATCAATATTCAGGTTACAAAAATGCATTATCCATATTATAACCAATTCTCATCCACATAGTTCAAGCAAAAACCTTTTTCGAAATTAAAAAAAAAACACACCCTAACAGGATAGTACATTTTAGAATCACTAAACAACATTCATTCAGCTAAAAATGACTTCCCAAAAACCATTCAAATCAACCATAGATATAATACTCGTAATGAACATTTTTATATTTCCAAGGCACCGTTTAACCCTTTATAAAAAAAGTCCGCTATAAGCTGGGCTGAGGCTATACAATGTGCTGCCTGCAAACTATAAATTGTTAAATGAAAATAATCTTGATAAAATAGGTGAACACTTAATTGACAGAGCCTTTCATTCAATTGCATAGTTTCACAATACCCCTTTAGTTTAGAATAGTTCTATTACCATAGAACTATTCTATAGGTCACGGTAAGACCTAGGCCGGGAACCGATTTACTTTTTAATTTTGATGTCCCCAGAGGCCAAAAACACCATTCATTCAAATTGATATATACAGGGTTAGTAAAAAGTGTGGAGACCCCCTGTTATTTTTTTAACGGCCCATACTAGAAAAACTAAATTCGGCACACCATTATGGCATGTTATGAAGTACTTTTTGGGCATAACCGCCACTTGGCGTTCACCCCCAAAATGGGGGAATTTCGGGGAAACTAAAAAATTTCAAACACAAAGACCTATTGAGTGACCCCTCATTTTGAAGGTCCTGGTAAAAGAAAGCCAACAACGCAAACTAGAGGTCTCTATCTCAGTTTAGTAAAAAATGGCAGCCAATTGAAATTCTCATAAGTTCCCAAACCCAAAATGGGGGATTTTGGGGGAAACTCAAAAATTGTAAATGATAAGCCCCATCGAGTGACCCCTCATTTTGAAGGTCATAATAAAAGAAAAGTAACAACGCAAACTATAGGTCTCTAGCTTAACACAGTAAAATATGGCAGCTAATTGAATATAAAATTGCAAGTTATTTCCAATTTCTAAAGATTTCAATCAGCTTCCATTTTTTACTGGATTGAGATAGAAACCTCTAGTTTGCGTTGTTAGTTTTCGTTTACCAGGACCTTCAAAATGAGGGGTCACTCGATGGGGCTTATCATTTAAAACTTTCGAGTTTCCCCCAAAATCCCCCATTTTGGGTTTGGTAAGCAAGTGGCTATTAGGCTTAAAAAGTACTTCATAACATGTCAAAAAGGTGTGTAGAGTTTAGTTTTCCTAGTGTGAGCCGCTAGAAAATTTACAGCAGGTCTCCAGCTTTGGAAAGCTGTAAGTTAAATTGAACTTCTGAGAATTTCAATTGGCTGCCACTTTTTACTGGATTGAGATAAAGACCTCTAGTTTGCGTTGTTGGTTTTTTTTTTACCAGGACCCTCAAAATGAGGGGTCACTCGATGGGTCTTTGTATTTGAAATTTTCGAGTTTCCCCCAAAATCCCCCGTTTTGGGGATGTACACCAAGTGACGGTTATGCCCAAAAAGTACTTTATAACATGTCATAATGGTGTGCCAAGTTTAGTTATTCTAGTATGGGCCGTTAAAAAAATAACAAGGGGTCTTCACACTTTTTACTAACCCTGTATATATTATATATACACCTCCGTGAACGAGATAACTTGAGTAATTTTTGTCCGATTTTGATGAAATTTGGTTTAAAGGTGTAAGTCTGGATAAACTAGAAAGATGATCAGACCATGGGAACTTTTAACGAGGGTTTTACAGGGTAAAAAAGGTTTTTCTAATTTTTGACCCTCAACACACAAAATTTCCCAATTTCTCTCTGGACCTTTTTAAAGAGCTTAAAAAAAAATAAAGTAGTATATCAAAGTGTTTTTGTATGGTTCTTGGTAACTGATTTTTAACTGAAATTTAAAAAAATGTAAATTCAAAATTCCTATGTTATTCTTATGGAGAATATTGTGAAATGTTGTAGTTTGCTTGTTGATAGATATATGTTGACCAAACTTGGCAAATTTATTTATTTTATACTAAGCTATTAATATGTTACTAAAAACCACACTTTATTAGCCTCCCTGTAGCAGCAAACCTAGGTACCTACTCATTAAACCTAATGTTTTTTAAGATTTGATTGAAAAACAATTCAAACAAATGGCAATTTGCTTTGTCGGCAGGTTTGCTGCGGCAGGAGTATTTTTAATATTCTGATTATTTAACTCTGACAATGTACCAACACATGTAAAGAATGTTATGTGGGTTGGAAACCGGATAAAATAGTAGACATTAAGTAAACAGGGGTGCCCACAAGGGGGGCTGTGACGCAGACTGTGTCATTGAAATTCTTGGGGGGGGGGCTGCAAAAATTCAAATGGGGGGGGGGCTAAAGTTAATTGCAATATTGTTCAACGCGACGACAATCAAAAATGATACCCACATTTTTGATCGCCCGTTATTTTATTTCCAAAATAGTGAGGCCATATTTTAATGGCTAAGGACACTCTCGCCAATCCTGTGAATACACTTAAACCATTAGAATCATATATAATCGGTACTCTAGGTTTCTTTACAGTAGGCTGCGTAAAATATGCCTCCTAGGCCGTGTGACAGACGGACATAATTTGAGATAAGACATGTTTCAACTTCTTTAATGTATAAAACGTAAAAATAACCCAAAATATGTATAATTCTGAGCAATGTACAGACAAAACTATAACTTTATTTATATAGATTAACTGGGTTTGAATTTTCAATATCTAAAAAAATGTATAAAACTTCTTTTAGTTTTACAAATAGTTCTGGGTGGGGGAATAATGTTTCTCATGTCGTGTACTTCATTTATGGTGGGGGGGGGGGCTGTTGCTCAATTGGGGGGGGGGTGCGTCATGAGTCTAGGGGGGGATGGGCACCCCTGAAGTAAAGAACTTGGTACTCAGAGCTGAACCAGCTGGATTGGCAACGATAGGAGCTCAATGGCAGCAACCTTATACAGAAAACTCCCATATTTAAAAAAATGTAAATGTTATACATACATATATACAGTTTACATACATAATCAATGTAAATTAATTACCAGTGCTATGGTTTAGAATCTCCATGGTGCCGTACTGTTCTATCCACAACTTTCCCACGATCACATTGTGAACACAGCAATTGACGTTAGTCCACGTGTAAGCCTCTCCCCATCTGAAAAATAAAATTCAATATAGGCTAATACAAATTCTATTCTAACGGAAAATGTATTGCAGCACTATATTTAAGGCCTACCGCACACGAGATACTTTTTGTCGGCCGACTGTTGGCCATCTGTCTGGCTGGAGTCGGGTGGACAATCAAAAAGTCGTCAAGACTGTTTGGTCGTTGACTATAGGTGCGCACACGCCACGACTGTTTAGTCGTCTTTCGAGTGTCAAAAGGATGTACGGTATATGACAGAAACCGCTGTCATATGTGCGTTACTGACAAGATTTCGTGCAAGAAAACTTAAGAGAAAATTCTGGGTGCATCTAATTTATAGTCCGAGAAGGCCAGATTTACCTCTATACTCACTATTACTCGGATTTGAGGAAATACCGGACAAATTTGTCATGTACTCATGAATGAGTGTTGATTTTTTAACCAATTGTTAATACCCCAGCTTCAAATACCTCATCCCATAACTTTTAGGGAATAAGCTGTAACCGTAGGTCTCATGGTGAGACCTGGTCCCGTGACCGATTTATCTTTTCGTTTCATGTCCCCAGAGGCCAAAAACACCATCCGTTCAAATTCACACACACACATATATATTTGTCCTTAAGCACGATAACTCGCAAAAAAAATTATCCGATTTTGATGAAATTTGGTACAAACGAGTAAACCTACATCTATTTTATTCGAAGGAGTTCGCAAACCAGCATGATGGGACTATGGGAACGGGGGTTTATTAGTTTTGAACATAAACTATTATGGTTGATTAATGGGTTTATTGAGTAATGGGGGGTTTTATCGGGTAAAAATGGGGGTTTCCCATTTTTTTACGATAAAAGCAAAAGATTCCGTAATTTCTTTAGAAAACATTTTGCAGAGCTTAAAAAACAAATAATTTAGCATGCTAATTGTTATCATAATGGTTACAGGGAAATTCCAAAATGTTTCAAGTTAAAATTTTCATGTCATTTATATGTAGAACAAGTAAACTGTTGTAGTTTGCTTGTTTATGGATGTATTTTGATAAACTTGGCAAATCTATTTATTTTATACTCAGCTATTAATGTTTTACTAAAACACACCCTGAATACCCTCCCTGTAGCAGCAAACCTAGGTACTCGTTTATCCTAATTTTATTGAAATAAATTAAATACAAAATTAAATCAGGCAAATAGGAATTCATTTAGTCTACAGGTTTGCTGCAGCGGGGGTATTTTTTTATTATGACCAAATACTCCTTCAAAGTATTTTTATAAAGAGGGGACCGTGCCTCAACTTCATCGATAAGTTTATAAACTTTCTCGTCCCTCAAAACACTTGCACTGGTGGTTGTCGAAGCTTTAATAATAACAATAACACACAAATTAAATACTAATCATAATAACAATAATAATACACATGATAACAACGCACTCGACTGTCAGACTGGCAGACTTTTTAGTCGTCAGTGTGCGCGTTCTAACTTATCTCCATGCCTATATCAATAAGACACGACAGTTGAGTCGGGGAGCAGTCGGCGGGAAAATCGGTCAGCACCAAACTGCCCCGACTGTCTGCAGACAGTCTGCCGACTGTCTTGCTGCGGTCGGCCCGTGTGCGCGCTCAGATTTACCACTATGGGGCCGACTTTGATTCCCGACTACGACTAAATAGTCGGCCGACAAAAAGTCTCTCGTGTGCGGTAGGCCTAATGAGGATAGTTTTTTCTCATGAAGAAGAGCATAAGATTGTAAAATCCAGGTCTTTGGTTGGTGAAGATTTTTTGACAATCTACTGGGACCGTGGAAGCCTGTCATCACACGAGTTTAGGTCGAGAGAAAAATATATTTGCCAGACTGAATTAGAGGGTAAGGGCATAAAAGAGAATTAAACGATTTTAAGTTTTTCCTGTACATGTGCCAATCACAGCATTTCCACTCTATAGCAACTTTAATTTCACAACTTAAATGTTTACACATCACTTAAATAACACATGAGAGCTGTTATTATGTTGTGGCCCTTGAAACACTTAAATTGTACGTATTTGAATGCATTTGTAAACATTGCAGGAATCTGATGTACAACCAGTTTCTCGCAGAACTACAAAACATTTACTGTCTGTTTTCCTATCGCTTTTGAAACAGCATGACTCAGAAGGATCAAATCATAAAAGACGTCAAAAGAATGGAAGTGGTCTGGAGGCAAAATCAAAGGAACAAATGATGAAAAACATTGAGATATTTAAAAAAATTGTTCTCACACCTTACATTTTAGGGACCAATCCAAACCCTGTTACTATCTATCATCGAGCATTTGTTGGATACCATCCTAACAGTTATCCCCCAGCAAAAAGATGAAATATAATGTGTATTTTCATTGATAGCCCAAATGGCATATGGGTGATTTGAAGGTGAACACTATGATATATTGAGTGATCTAATAGGTAATGTAAAGTTCCTTGGGCCTTGAAACCTAATATTTTTTAACTCACTTTTCAACAGTGACAAAATAATATAATAATCTAACTGGGAAAACTAATAATAATATGAAAGGGTAGCCTAACATTAGTTTCTTTGATTTTGATGAATCCAGCATACAGCTACGGGTACAATACAAACTCTAAACAGCCCCTCACTATTTTTTTATAATCTAGCTAGAGCATTTCTATGATAGTTTAAAAACTGCAGGTTTGATTTTGTTTCTGGTTAGGAAGATCATGCTCACCTATCCAGTACAAAATCAAGCTTGTTCTTACATAGAGTCCTTCGCCAAGAATACTTTAACATTTGAAAACTATGTTTGAATGAATCGTGGACAGGAAAACACTAGACACAAAATCAAGACTGTAAAACAAGGACTCACTTGGGAAGTTCAACGGTAACTACTCCCTTAGGTTGTATTTCAACACTTTTCCCCCAGAACTTGAGCTTGGGGTGGATTGAGCCGTGGAAGATGAAGTGTTCGCTGTCCGCGTGGAAGGCAGAGATTGGAGGGTGATGACTCACTTGTTCACAGACGACTCTGCGGACATAAATTTATTGAGAAACACCACCAGCTGGTCTAATATAATCATAGTGTCCACAATTTCTTCAGCTGAATGGTGGATGATTAGGTATAGTTGTGATAAAGCATTGTGTTATGCCAGTGGTTCTCAAAATGGGGGACATGAAAGGATTTCAAGGCGATACTAGAAAAATTAAAAATTAAAATAAAGAAATAACAAATTAATTTGAGATTGTATAGCTATATACAATTTTAAATATAATCATATTACCATATCGATAATAGAGTAAATAACTAGTAAACACAGAGGGATTAAAATGCGGCAATTTGAATACGATACATGATCTTAATACGGTGAGTGGTATAGGGAGTGTGAGAAAAAACTCTGGATTCAAAAGGTGGCGTGGAGCAAAAAAGGGTGAAAACCCTTGTGTTATGCAAAGAATACCTACTTAAAATTTCAAATTACTTTAATTGTGAAAATATGGTTATAGATTATAACCATAAGTAAATTTTTTTATTGCAAATTTAGATTTGTTGTTGAATTATAATACATTGCTTATGTGATATTGTTTGTTATCTTTGTAGGTTTGGTAGCTGACTGGCTAGAGATCTTATCTAGTAATTCTGCTGTTTTCAACTTTACCAAAGTTTAAAAACCTTTTTGTCAGTTTGAAACTGAGCTTAACCATACCTTATCACTAGAATTTAATGGACGGGTAAGAAGTAAAAAAAAAATGTAATAGTATATTTCTCTACTAGTCACAAAATGGGACTTTTGTGACGAGTATTGAACGATACTTTTTGTCACGACAAATAAAACGGCTTCATCAAACTTAAAAAAATTATTTCTTAACTATTTAATCTAGTCTAAATTTGATATTAATGCAAGTTGAAAACTCTGTTAGTAAAATTTGTATTTAAAACACAATGGTGCCTTTTGAGCTAACTGGAAACTTCAGTTGTAACTTTAAGTTAGACAAAGTATTGTTTGTGTAGCGAAAGAAATATTTATGTCAAAAAAAGTCAGCTGATCACTATTTGTTTTTGGTGTATGGAAATTGACGATTTTCTAAGATCTCAGCTGTATGGTAATGGACTATTTTCAAATGCAGAGTGGTGAAAAATAAACTAAACTCAATCTGAACATTATTGACTTAGTTTATTAAACCAGATAAGCCTGAAATAAGTTAACTAAGCTTTACCTGAACTCAGGTCGTTCAAGTTCGTAAGTTTCTCCAAGAAGTGGATTGAAAGGTTTTCCGAGACGCTCCCAATTGGATGCCAAAGCGCTCACAGCAAACGCAGACACGTACTAAACAAAAAATTAGATGAAGTATTAATTTCACCTTAAAAAATTATATACCGTTGTTATATATTTTTCTATTTGCATTCATCGACAACCATATGTTATTTCGATTAATTATTTTTCCTTAAGTTTTACTATAGTGATTATGAAAACATAGTTCAAATACAAGATTTACTTTACAGCACTATGCTGAAATAATTATTCTAAAACTAATAATTGATTGTATTTTAGAACCGTGGAGGCACATCAGTTATGAGTATACAACTCACGAGGCATAGTTGGGCGGCTAAGATGAAAGTAGACAAAATGAGAGATTTTTTTTGTTGCTTTTGTACCTACTTCAGTGGTATTTTTATAATTAAGTCAACTCAAAGAAAAGGGGAAAGACGTCCAAACCCATTAAGGTCCATTAAGGTTTTGAAACATGGTAAATCAGGGAAATTTAAAAAATATTTCTTGGATTCAAAGGATTAAGAAATATAAAGCAAATATTCAGTGCAAACAAAACTTGACACGAAACAGATCCTTCAGACCGATACTCACTCCTTTTATCTGGATAGCTAAGTGGTTATAGTGCTCGCCTTCAAATTTGTAGGTTGCTGGTTCGATTCCAACTAATGCCATTTGTCATTAATGCTGGTAATCAATTAATGATATCGAACAAGACAACGGCTTAGACCTTTCCCTTAAAACGAAAAAGGTGTTAACCATGCCATATGACGTAGATAAACACCCTAAAGTGTAAAAAGACCAGACCTGCATGCGTGCTAGAGGGTCGCTCTGCTCCGCAGCGTAGCGGAGAAGGTGTGCGTACTCCATGTACTCCACCATACGCTGCAGGAAGCTCAGAGGTTCGTTGAATACAACAGGCATGGCGACGTTGCTAAGCTCCTTACCGATGCTTGTCTTCAAAACTGACCAAAGGCTGAAGTCATTACGACTGAACATTGGCTGAGGCAGACTACGTCTGTAACAAAAGTGAAAAGTGAAATTGAACTGTGGAAGTTCAAATAGGTAATTTTGAAAATTTCACAATTTCACAAGAGATTTTCACAAAATAAAAATTCAATGAAATTCTTGGCCGTGCATAGGTATATTTTGTCTATGTAAATTAAAAAGTCATTACCTTTCAGGATCTGGGTTAACCTAAGTATCTGTATTGACGGTTGTATCATAAAAGAGCCTCAAAAGGTCGAGGACACCATTTTTTTAACCATTGAGATAACACAGCAAAACTCATAAAATCCCTAAAAATGTACTTTAAAAAAAATTGTATTATGATATTGAGGAGAGTTCGAAGGAAAATTAGTATGAACAATTAGTGTTTGTTTAAAAAATGGAATTTTGGGTATAGAACTTATGTGCAAAGCTTTGTTGTATTATGTGCAATGGTTCAAAATTAAAATGTCATTAACTTCGAGGACCATCAAAAATGTTGATGAATTTTTAAATAAAAAATTATGTCTGTGGGTGAATAAAACGTTACAGGTGAGACTTTTTATATCTAAAATAACAGTGAACAAATCAGAGATTAGCCAAAAAATGTACAGTGAAATAAAGTAAAGATCAGTACATTTCATTTAAATTTTTTGGTTAGCATTATTATAACCAGAACATGAGTACAAAGATTTTGAAAAAAAAAACACAGCCACAATACAAACAGTAGACTTTTTGGATGGATAAAAATTGTGTTTGTCGGTTTTAAAATGTATTATAGCACTTAAAATATTACTCAAAAAGTGTGCAAACATGTTTTCAATTAATTAAGGTTAACTTTTAATTCTTCTCATTAACTTCCTCTAATTATGTCAAACTTAATGTGAGAAAGATGAATAAGACGGTAATATTAAAGTTCTTTTACTTTAACAAACAATCTAGATTTGAATTTAATTTAAAAGTCTTTTACATCTATATCTATTGATGGATCAACAAGTATCTAAGTGCACTCAGGTACAAAGGGTTTTAACTTTATTGGCCATGCCATTAAATTGGGTAGTGCTGATTTTTTCCCAGGGGTGCACAACTGCACAAGGTTAGTTTCTTGAGATAAAGGAAACATTTTTGATATTTGGAAGCATAACTTTAAATTCAATATGTTTACTACCTTCACTATGTTGTTGATTTCAATTAATTTCTTCAGCATCCATATCATTAAAGCAACGAATACGCTATAGAATAAGAATATGTACCTACAGGTATAAATTAGACTGCAGGATAGTAAAGTAATTGGCTGAATTAATCACCTTAAGGTGATTAATTCAGCCAATTAATCCCCAATTAACTAACACAATTTTATTCGTTATTAAAGCCTAGACACCTATCAATTATTCAGTATAATTTACCTTTCTCGGTAGCCTAAAACAGAACTCTACTGTTGACACCTTAGGCTACCGAAAAAAGGTAAATTATACACACAATAATTAAAAACAATAAAACATTCTTGATCAATTTTGTTGTGAGACAATCTTCATTCAATGACCACTTTAAATTCTTGTTTCTTAAAGAATATCTCAAATCAAAGGGTTAGTTAAAAACCAATTAATTAATAAACCTCTAGTAAAAAAACATATTATTAAGAAACATTAAGTAAGTAAATATCAACTAGCTAAAACCTACCAAATTAAAGACATCTTTTTATCTTGCTGAAAAACGTTCAGTTCACTATTTAAAGAAGAACTCCTCTACAAAACAAATACATTTCCAAATGCTATTGCAATATATATTGAAACAAAAACAAACTCTCAAAGTGCTAGAGTTCTAACAATTAAATTGTTTCAAAAGTACACACCTTGTGCAAAAAAAGTAAGCTGTGGAAAATTGTACAGTACAATTTTACAGAAAAGCCCAATAATGAGCCTAGAACTAAAAAAAAATACAAAAACTCCAACACACAATTTGAAAATTAGTAAAAATCAAAGTTGGCAATATCAAAATGTAACAAAAAACTTGACTGCTTGTCTACAACTAAAATCATCATTGAGTTTAAAATCAATCCTACCAAATTCAATATTGTGTAGAGATCACAAAACAACATAAATTTAGCAAAGACAAAAATGTGCAAAACCTTTTGGCATGCCTCACCTAGATTTGTGTCCTGCAACATTGCTGTTTTCCATTGTACACCACACGGCAACATTAGCTTCAAACTAGTTTCAGGATAAGATTCACAACACTGGACTTGCGCCCATTCGTTGTCCAAACACTAAATACTTTTGGGAATAAAACACAGATGACAAACCAGTCAACTTAGGCTTGCAATCGTAGAATAAAGAGACAGACTATGACATGATTTATCTCTTTATTCTACCCATTTTTGTCCAAGGACGCTAGACTCTAGCCCGGGGTCGTTTTTGCATTACTTTAGGCTTGAGCTAGGGGCGGGGGCATTCGGGCATTATCATTTAGAAAATCCATTGGTGATTTAGCTCCCCAGCAAATTCCACTACAGACTACAGTTGCTATTTTAACTTAAAAAAATTAGGATCGAGGCAGTCGGGCTGGGTTTGGAATCCATTCTCATACCGTACTTAGTAATACAAGTTGATTAAAAGAGAGTAGTTTAGTTGTTGATTGTTTTACACTCTTTCCAATTATGTGTTTGGAACCCAGTATCGTCCGTGCTAATATATATTTATTTTTTAACAGTTCCACAAACTCAGGGGAAATAAATTTCATAAATGTTTCAGCAAAATCGTTATTTGTTACTCTAATATCGATTTTAATTTTTTATTTGCAAAATTAATTAAACATTTCTCTTGACTTTAATACGTATTTCTAAGAGCACCAATTTAACATAACATACTCTGGACTTTGACTACTACCTATATCTATTTAGGTTTCTTATCCAGATATTTTATTACATCAATTACAACATCGATCTAAATCTTGATCTGACGTTAGAGCTTGTTTATATGAGTCGTTTTTCGTCCCTTGCCCTCAGCAGCGGACACTAAAGTCAAAGGCCTACAAAAGAGTAGATGATGTTCAACTTCATGTAAAATAGCCCTTCTATAGCACTGAAAACCGATGTCATTGACTCATTGCAGATGTCCCCTGCAGGATGTGTACCTATACTATAGTAATACAACCTTGAAAAGTAATCCACGAACTAAACTTGAGATGGTAACTCAAATAACTAAATGTTTCAAGACTTCGGTTACTCACTACTCAGTCACATACAGCTGAAGTACCGTACACGCAAATCATAGAATAAAATTAACTACGCCAAACGACAATAATTTTCGTACTTTACATAGGTGCGGCATATACTTTATTCATGGTTACAAATGGTTTATATACGAGGGCTATATTTACAAATTTTATAATATATTTAGTAATTTTCACTTTATCACAAAAAAATGTGTAAACCAGTGGAGCATGAGCTGTTAATCGTAATATTTTATTACAGTAGGTAGCCTATTATGTTTAGCACGAAGAATCCAAGTATCATTTTGGCAACAAATTATTGCCAAACTAAGTTTTCCTTATTCTCGCTGTTGATTAAAACTACTATATCCATTACAAAATCGAATACTATAACAAATGTATTCTAAAAACACTTCACAACGCGTTTGAATCTTAAATGTTCTTGATTTAAAAAAAAAATGCCCAAAGAAACCAGGGTTTACAATTAGTAACATGTTACAAACTAAATTTACTTCAAATAAATAATTATCAAAGAAAAATTCAAATACTGTAATTGCTTATGGGTACCCAGTTAGGCATACTGAAAGACGGACAAATTATACGTTTCAGATATTGAATTTCGAATGGGCACGGTTCTCCTGATCTCCTCGCCCAACCAAAGTCACTACTGTAATGGAGAGCTAACAGGTTGTAGGTCGTAATAGCATGATGGCGTGACTACTAAGCGATTAGATAGCTTACAATAACCTTCTAAGCAACGATCCTGCAAAAGCTTTAACAATTAGATCGGAAATATGCTACTGAAAATGCTGATTAAAATTGCGAAATTCTAAAATTAAGGAAATGGTAATCAACTATTAGACCATTAAAGAACAACTTTACTGTTACTTATACGTTACTATCGGATTCGAAGCCTTTCATGAGTTACAATCATACCTAGTTAAGTGATATACATTTCAATTGATATATTTCGTCATTATGTTAAATCTTTGACGCTTCCCAACTGATCTTTGTTCTATTCGATACGCCACCCACAAGGGGTCATTTGGAAATCCGTACTTCGATCCAACACTAATTTTAATACACATCAATGTAGTCGAGCTAAGTAAATAAATACCCTTTACCCTAGAAATAAACACTAAGACAGAATAGTCACTCTCCGAAACACTCAATACACCACTAAAATAAGTCGCGTATGCATTATTGACGGGTCTATTACAGGGGTGCGCGCAGGCGCTGGTAGGAGGTGGTGGGGGGTGGTAGGGGGTCGTAAGGGGGTATGGTCAGCTGACATGGTCGGGTCGAAGTCAAACAGATTACGTACACCCCCTACCTACACTTACCTACCCAACCGAACGGGGATAAAACTTCCTGTGTTGTGATTTGTTTAGCTTTTAGCTAAATATACAAACAGTTTTGCAAGATTAGATAAACATTCGCTTATCTTTGATACAGATAGGTAATTTTGGAAATACTCTTTGTTTTATAAGAATGACTAAATTCACAAGTATGGTTTACACATTCGTTACTTAATTTTTTTGCTTGGAGAACTATACCACGTTAAAGTGCAAAAGGTTAATTAAACATTTTTACACAATATCATAGACAGTTTTTGATCCAAAGGTGGGTCCAGGAGAGGGAATAAGGGCTTCACCTATCATCAGGGTTGAGAAAATATAAAAGACCCGAATTCACATTTTATTTGAGAATTATTAGTGATGTGTTTGTGCCTGTCGGCATTGTCGGTGATATTGGTTCTTGGGAAAAGAGTATTAGTAGAAAGAACCAACGTTAACATATGGGTACTGGACCGGTACTTCGCGGCTACTACAGGGCACGGCCACAGACAATGGAATAAACATTAAGTATTATATTGTCTGTGGCACGGCCCTACTGGCTGCACAGACTTACAAAATCGGCTACCATAGCCCATAGCCTCCTCTCGGCTATTGAATTGTATGAATGAGCAGCGATCGATATTATTTATTTACATTAGTGATGTGACCTGCAAATAGACCAAGACAAAACTCGAAACCCTTGAAACATCGGGAAAGCGATCGTGACGTGGACACATCAGTGAGCATTGAGCAACTATAGCAATCACGGCATGGCCGTCTTCACTTCCCGTCCGCGATCACCGTTTACTTAGCCTATATACCATAGATTAAGCATACTTCCTAGGGGATTATGCTTAATCTATGCCTATACTTAATACGACGATATCAAATCAAGTCATTGGCTAGTCAATTAATTGTACATATTGGGACATTTTAGATATTAGAAAGCAAAAAAATAACATTTCGGACGATAAGAAAAACTAAATTTTAAAGTTGATTTGAATATTAGTTAATACAGTTTAAAAACAACAAAACTCAAAAAGGTTTAAATAAAATAAGAAAACATTAAAATTAGGAATTTGGATTTAAAAATGTAGAAAATTGGGAATTATCATTTAAAATAAAGAAGTTATGGATTCAAAATGTATGCAATTAAACACTAAATTGTAATGCTTAAATTAAATAATTTGAAATTGTAAATAGGATAATAATTTTAAATTGAGAATCTGGTAAATTCAAAAATATGAGACATTTGTCTCATAAAATGTAAATTGATTGAAAAATAAATTTTGTAAACCACGATATTGTGAAATTATTTGGAATTTGGTAAATCAGTAACCAATGCCAATTAAAAAATTTAAATTTCAGATTTTTGGAATTTTTTGAATTTCGATTTTATAAATTTGAAATATTTGGAATAAAGAAAATTTAAATTAGGAAATTTGGGATGTGGAAATTGTAAATTGGAAAAATAAACAATTAATTGAGAATTATGGGTAGTAATGTAAATTAAGAAAATTGGAAATGTAAAAAAAGGACATGAGAAAATTTGGGATTTGTAAATTGTGAATTCAGTGGATTTAAAAATCAGAAAATGTGAACATGTGAATGTGAATTTGTAAAATGTAAATTGGTAAACCAGGATGTGTTAAAACCCCAATACATATGGAAAAGCAGAGGAGAAACACTAGCGATATGGATTTTAAAATTTGGATTTTGTAAATTGGTTTTCAAATCTCTAATTACCAAATTTCCAAATTAATAACTTTAAAACCCTGAAATTTTTCAAATTCACAATTTTTAAATTTTCTTATTTCCTAATTTCTCAAATGAATCAATTAACTTACTAATTTATGAATGCCTAAATTTTGTAATTTCTCACATCTACACCAACATACCAAATTTTAATCCCTTTATTGTTCCTATCTAACATTAACTGCTAAACAATCTTGCTTGAAATCAAACCAGCCACCTTCAAATTTGAAGGTGAGCACTCAAAGTACTCGGCTATCCTACCAATTAAGCTACCTACCAGTTAGAACTCCTTAATTGTGATTAATAATAAAAGTTATTAACCTGCAGTGCATAGTGCATAGCTCTAGTTTCTTCATTTTATTGTTAAAAAGTATGCATTAAAGTATGCATTTATTAACTGAAGTTTGCTTGTTCAATTTCATTGTTGGCTAAAAATATGGTAGCCAATATTTACAATGGCAAAAGAGCACATTATCTTGATCCACTTGGAGTATCTAATGACACTTGTAAAGTGGCATGGTGGTAGTTGTAAGGTTGGTGAGTCGGTGGCTCAGTCTGTAGCGCCACGGACTTCGGGCCGAAGGCAGCAAAGTCGTGGGTTTGGATCCTATTACCTGCCACTACTTTTTATCATCTAAAAAAGTACCGGCTCACCCCTTGATTTGCTGAATATGTTTCACACACAGGTTTCTGTGGCCCATGTGTACCGGCAAATGCAAGGTTAAGGCCATCAACCTCTTAAATATAAATTAATCAAAAAAGTGTACCGGTATAGACAACTACAAGATTCATTCTCTTTCACACTATGTTCTGTGTAGTTATAGTAATGTACTGTGTATTTCACAACAAATTAATATCCTAAAAGTTGGACAATTCATCTTTAAACACCCTGCGCTATCATAGGACAGCTTGAAGCTTTAATCATTTCTGCTAGTCCTTTATAAAGTAATGTATTGTGTATTTCTATTTAAATAACTTCTTGATCAGCATTGTACGTGTTATTAAATTTACGGAAAGTAAATAAATGAAACGTCTATAAGACTTAAAACTAAGTTAAAACTAGTTTTAAGTGTTATAAGAAGTTTCTTTTATTTACTTTCCGTATTTCTATTTCACAAAAACATAATTCTCATCGTTCGATCGTCCTTATATTACCACTTTTACAAATTACTTTCTAGTTTCTATTATATAGCTAAATAGTGCACAAAATAGAAGCATGCAAGTGTACGTACAGGCAGTGGCACAGACCTCGCTGCAATGCGGTGTGTGTGATGAGCCTTGCACTCTAGAGCCGAGCGGAACGAGTGGACGGATACGAGCGTCGCAACACTTGAAGTAGGTGAAGGGAAACTGACTAGAGTGTCACTGTCCGAGCCTGGAGTTGCAGCAGTGACTAGAGTTTCTGTGTCAGAGTCTGAGAACAAACATACACAGTAAGGGTGATCTTACTTATGGTAAAACACAGGTCAGAGTGAGGCCAACCAGTATATCACAGTAGTCTTATCTCTTGGAGCTACTCAGGTAGACAGTGTTGTCCTGGTCAGTGAGTTATACTTCTGGCTCTGCTATCTCCTTGACTCTTTTTTGTTGAAGAAAATATACAAATCTGATGGTAGAAATGATTATATTTTAATCACCTGTTTATTTTTTAACAAAATTTCAGGTGAGTTGGTGAGTTTTAACTCAATATTATCATATTTTATTATACTAATGTCTAATATATCACCAGATATGACACTGACTAGGCCACCTTCAACCTGAGCAGCTCAAAGCACACACGATAGGCTCAAGAGATTAGACGATTAGGGTGGTCAGCTAGTTTCCTTCACTCTGACCTGTGTTTTACTATTGTCATCAGTGACGGTGGGTTTCAGCATAGCCTCCTCTAATACAAGGCCTTGGCGAGACAAAAATGGCAATGCCGCAGACCCGGCACACTAAACCAGCTGTTGCACTAATTTGTAATGGAGTGTGTGCGAAATGCTTATGTTTACAAGTTTATCATTCCTGTTATTGCCATGGCAATAGGCCGGCCGGTGTGACGTTGCCACACACCATCGCCACAGCCTTGTATTAGAGGGGCTATGGTTTAGTTTCAGTCATTTGGATGCAGTTAGTCATAACTCTTGTAAGAAGGAAGTCAAAATAAATCCCTTCATTTTACTTGCTCCCCCTATACAAAGTATATAGAGAAAGTATTGTTTTTTTTATCAAAATCTTAAATTTGAGCTTTGGATTGGAAATATCTGTTTTGCTTGTAGAAGTTGTAGGAATTTTAATTTCAAGCAAATGGGAGAAAGTATGTGTTGGTTTGCTGATTCTATCTAAAAGGTGGTAAGTATTATTTACGGAGATAACGTGGGTAAGTGCAACATCTTACATCTAATTGCCAGAATTTCAATTTTTTAGCAATGATGACTTAATTACGATGGGTTTTCCTAGAAATGGAAGCGGAGTACGCTCTCCTATTGTCCTCGATAATTTCCTAGTACTCGTTTCCTAGAAGCAGAGCAGACTGCCACTGGACGAGTGGAAAATCGCTTCTCATCACTCTTGTGCCTAGGAAACTTCAGCTTTGTTCATATAATAAAATATTTTTTTTCTACAGTCACCCGACAAAGTTGGCTTCCTTGTACTGTTTATAGTACAGAAAGCTGCTAATTGCTGCACATTTATACTTTGCCGTACGGTTTATACTTTGTCGTACGGTTTATACTTTGCCGCACATCAGGATTCCAACTGAACAACACAAAACAGGGTGGTTCTATTATGCACGTAATCCGTGTACGCTTGGAAATAGGTTGGCAACACTTAAAGATAATAATACTATGAGCAGCTGATTGACTATTATAACTACGATTTAACCTGTCATTTCGTGTTTATAGTTTCGGTATTTCTGAACTTTCTGGACTTTTCTTTTAAACGTTTTTAAAACATTCCTACGATCTTAGTAAACAAGAAAATACCTTTAAAGCATTTTTTTTTGCGCGGAAACCACTTCAAATTACAAAAACATACAGAACTATATTCTCAAAACGCGGAGCACATTTCTTGCCGAGGAAAAATAGCGGAGTGATACGGACCGCGGGTACTACTTTCTCTAGGGCACCATTTGTGTTGCCAGCTGAACCTAAAACCGTGTTGTATAGTGTTTGAAAGACTAATTATTTATATGCTTTATAGTGACTGTAGGAAAAATATAATGTGTAACACGAGTGAAAAAGGCCTTTGCTGCACTCGAGATCATTCCGCACGAGCCGCAGGCGAGAAAACAACATAAAAACATTTAACAATTAAAAACATGTAAACATTGCTCTCGTGTGCAGCAAAGTGCCACTTTCACCACTAGTTACACAAATAACTATTGTAAGGATGGCTTAAGGCCTGGATTTAACTATTTTAAGGATTTTTTAATTGAAAGGTATTTATTTATTTATTTATTTAGTAGTCTTTGTTCTTTTAGTGTGTTCAACACTTCCATCACTTTCAACCGACTGTAAAGCCGTTATTTAGATCATTATGGTACTTAAACCAATGTGCAACACCTGAAATTTCTCTTTTAGACTCAATGAAAAACCTCAAAATTCCATTTCCATCAAAGAACACTTTTGATCAGATCATAAAAAATCACAGATATGAGACTTCTTTGGCTATGTGGCACAAAACATTTTTTATCTTTTAAAAAGATGAGTGACATACGTATAGATAGACCAATGTCCAAGATGCTATTTTGGGGGAAAAGGCCATTCAAATGTATGAAAGTATTGGAATAATTAATATTTAGAATCTACTTAAAATTTGTTACCATATCTCAATAATTCTGAAAACGAAATACAATGAGGTTTTGGCTTGCTAGGGAGGAGTTATTTTTTTTTTCATAGGACACTAGGTTCTGGCTCGGGATCGTTTTCCCATTACTTAAGGCTAGACCAAGGGGTTGCCAAATTATCACTTACGTTGCGATACTGGGCTCATGAGAATCGTTTGTAGGCTCAATTATATTCTAAGATTACTTGTTTGTGCTACATCTCTACGTTTGAATATATTATTTTATCTAATTAAATATTGAGCCAAGCCACATGTATATCACAGCCATTTTAATGATCTAATTTATCAACACATGCTATAAATTTAGATATACTGTAAAATAAGAATGCAGCGATAACCTTCCACTCATGCCATAAAGGAAAGAATGGTGTTGGTTATCTCAATTTACATATATATCATATTAATAAAGTGAATAATCCCTAACCCCTTAGCCCCCCCCCCTTTCCTGAAAGGAATTAGAACATAATTAATTTATGATTTAGCAATAATTAACCTCTACAACTTATCAGTTAGCATGTCCACGTTCTGTGACGGTCCTTCCTCACGTAATTCCTGCCCACAACTGCCTGTGCCCCGACTCTTTCCCTACTCTCCCCCCTACGATACTAGAAAACCTCAGATTGAACTGGTTGACAGCGGATCAGCTGTGACACAAGCTTCATACTTAGATGATATAATGCTTTGTTGATTTGTCGGGGTTTGATCCCAGGACCTCAGGGACCTAACTCTCTACCTCTAGACCAGCTCGGCCCCCACGGGGGAGGAGTTAAGGTAACCCGCAATCATACCCTGATAATAGACAGATAAAGCTCTATGAATCAAAACGTGCAAAAAGGAAATCTCTTTCAACTCTAGGGTAGCCAAAAAGTAACCAGAATTTTGACAGCCATCGAGTATCGAAGCATTAAAAAAAATTTAAATCCCTCTAGCTTTAGTACATCATGCAAATTGCTTCACCTGGATTATCTCAAAACCTTTGTCAGTTGAAAGCTTAAAAAACTTATTGCCAAGCATTCATGAGCAGTAAGTTTTTTCATAATTACTAATACCATTATTTTTTGAAAATCTTTTAATTCATCCTCTTAAAATTTGAGTTGGTAACCTCAAATAGGCATAATTAAATCACCAGTTAATAATTATATGCAGTTTGACAGATAATTGTTTTTAAACACTTAAGATCGGACACCCTGTATACGGATAATACGTGATAATACTATCCGGATATAAAGATTTTTGGCCTTGTTTGAACATGAAAATTAAAAAAGTATATCACTCCTGGGTCTAGGTCTTACCATACAACCTACTGTAATAACTACTTCCCTATAGGAAAAATTTGCTAAAACTAGGCGAAAACTACCTTGGTTTGCATGTTAATTATGGAGAAAATTTGTTGAATTCAGCCTCTAAATGTAGGTAGTAACATTATGATTATTCAATCGTTTTAGTTTTTAACTTATTACATCAGTGACTACTTGGGCCTCCCACATAATCCAAGTTTTTTTCTCAAGTTCAAGGCAACTTGTATAATAATCAATAATCAGTCTGTTATTTAAATTCTAGGCAATAACTTAAATAAAATGTTAAAAACCATTCACAAGAAACAGGGTGTAAAAAAATAATGGAACATATTAGTAAAAATAACAAAACTATATTTCAAAAGTAAAAACATGTGAGGACAACAATGATTTTCATGTACGGTACTACCATTTACTAATACAAAACAATACAAATAAACTTAGTATAATGAAAATAATACTTTAAAATACTGATCTAAATTAACAAATTACAATTGTTAAAAACATCTTGAATAAATAAAAAGTTAAATAAAAATAACGTAACGAACTTAAGTAAAAAATATTTGATTGCATGTGGATATCACAGTTGTTGTTATTGGCACTCATAAAAGGCACATCAAAGTTAAATACAGAGTAACAAAATGAAATCATTGATTTAAGAATCCATTTCCTCCTTACACTTTCATGGAATGTATATCTTACTTAATTAAAACATTTAAAGCATATTTTTTAAATACAGGATAAATGTCTACAGACACAAAACATGTGTCAATATTATGCCGACTAACCTGCTTCAAAGGCATCATAAAACTCGTCGTCTGACGTCTCGTAAAATCTACGGCTATGGACACTCACTGAAAAAATTCACAAGATTAGTTATTTTAATCAAATTATCCATCTATATAAATCAAATTAGAGTTTTGTCTGTACATTGCTCAGAATCATAAATTTTTAGTTTATTTTTACGTTTTATACATTAAAGAGGCCGAAACAAGTCTCATCTCAATTTCTGTCTGTCTTCCGTCTGTCACGGCCCAAGAGCCATTTTACGCGGCCTTCTCCTGAAAAACGAGAGTAACTATCAAGATCCGAATAATTTTAATGTATTCACTGGATTGGCAAGAGTGTTTTTAGCTATTAAAATATGGCCTCACTACTTTTTAAATAAAATTACGGACGTTTAAAAACCCAATTTTGTGCGATATTTGCCAAGTTTTCTCCCAATGTTTATCACTTAATCATCTATGAAATAGCGATCAGCTGTTCGGATCAAGATTATTTTTCTCTAGCTGTCACTGATATGTTTACGTTGAATGTTGTTTACAAATACCGCAATCATTTACGATCACGTTTCAAAAGCTAATCCAAACCAAGTTGGATTCAAACCGTGTTTCCTTACATAACGGATTTAATTAATCGCAAGTGTAATAATGTGTAGGGTAACCGTAAATGAAAATAGAGATTATTTGTGTATAAAATTTTTCTTGAGTTTTGATAACCGGGAAAAAGACCTTGAATCAGTGTTGTATATGGCTGGGGAAACTTACATTTTTTACATAAGCCTTACCTATAGCTTACATAAAAGGTTTCAACTCATTGACGGGCTAACGGCACTTCAATGGTGGTTGTGTAAAGTGTAAAGTGACAACTGCAGTGGGTGATTGTAACAGAGGTTTAATTTAATCAAACGCTGGTACTCCAGCCCCATCTTCAAACTATCTAAGGGTCCTCCACTTCTTTCTTGTCCTCCTTAGACACATGCTGCTGGCACTTAATGTCGCACAGATGGTTTTTACCTTTATCCAGTTCATCACTAAACTGTAAGGTTTCTTCTATTATTCTGTTAGGCGTTCTGCCATTGCTCTGAGCAAGGTTTGAAACTCTTTGCCTAGCATTCCGTCCACAGACGTGACTAGTGGGGTGAAAGAAGCATTTCTTATTTCTGTTATTGATGTATTTTCTCTTCTTCTCTCTTTCTGCATTCTCCAAAACTTTTTCGTAAGGGAGGTTTAAGTACGATGGAGCATCAGTGTCAACGACACGTACATCGAATAATGCTGGGTGTTTGCATTCTTGTAAAAGAAAGCCTTGAGAGCAGCACAGTAGCCATAGATGTTTCCAAGTACTGTAAAGAACTGTTATTTGAAGCAGCTCTTATAAAAATAAAATTCAAGAACTCAAATCTGTTTGTACTGGGAACCTACAGACCCCCAAACGGAGACCTTGAGGAATCATTAAACACCTTTACAGAACTAATTGAGGAAACAAAAATTGAAAATTCCCCTCTTATCATCATGGGAGATATTAACGTTGATTTGTGTAACCCAAACAGGAAACACATTATCTTAAATGAAACTCTTGCTATGCACAACATCCAGAGACTACAGCTTCCACCTACGAGAATAACAAATCTAACACAAACCTCCATTGACTGGATATGTACAAATATGGACACAAACCAACTCACTCCAGAAATCATCAATGCAGGACTTTCGGATCATACTGCTCAACTCTGTACTGTAAACTTCAAATCACACATCAACTCAAGTTATCCTGCCCAAATTGGACGCTGCCTAAAAAATAAAAACCTGCAAGACCTCAAGTATCTTCTCAGTCAAGAAAACTGGCTTAGTGTTACCTCAATAAACAATGCCGAAGAAGCTTTTAAAACTTTTAGTAACATAGTGAGAGTAGCTATGGATGCAGCCTGCCCCCAAAAGAAGATAAAAATACAAAGAAAACATAAACTAAAATTCTCCATGGACCCAGAAGCAGTGAGACTTAAAGCCGAATTTCTTAAAGCTCTAAGAAAGTTTGAGGTGACGGGAAATCCAGATGACAGAAGGGTTTCTATTGAAAATAAAAAGAACTATGACCTGTACTTGAAAACGATGCGGAAAAAGGTTAACTCTGACCAGTTAATGAAAGCTGAAAATAAATCTAAAGCTATCTGGGAAACAATAAACACAGTGTGGTCCAAAAAGGAAACATCCCTAAATGAAATAACCCTTCAAGTAGATGGCCAACTCATAAGTAATGTGACCCATGTTGCAGAGCATTTGAATACATTTTTTACACAAGTAGGAGAAAAAACAGTAGAGAAACAAAAACACCTAAAGACCACAGCTCAAACTCCTGACGTAACTCAAACAGGTCCACTGTTTTCCTCCTTTCAAAGCACAGACGAGAAGGAAGTTAAAATGATTATAAACAAACTTAAAGCAAAAAACTCGTCTGGAATTGGTGAAATCTCGTCAAAAATACTTAAGCATTGCTGCAATGAACTAGCACTACCATTGGCTGATTTGATAAATAAGTCCCTAAAACAAGGCATCTTTCCTTCACTACTTAAAATAACTAAAGTATACCCGAAATTTAAAAAAGGTAGCACATTAGAAGCAAGCAACTACAGACCAATTTCCCTCGTTTCCACCTTCTCCAAAATATACGAAAAAGTTGTTTTAAAAAGACTTTTAGACCACTGCATAAATCACAACCTACTAAACAACCTTCAACATGGATTTACAAAAGGGAAATCCACAACAACAGCAATAATTCAGATGGTTGAGTCCCTGATTGACAGCCTAGATGAAGGCAATCTAACAACAGGAATCTTTCTTGATTTCAGTAAGGCATTTGACTGCCTTGACCACCAGCTAATCATTAAAAAGCTGGATTCCCTGGGGGTATCAGGGATAGTAAGAGAATGGTTTCAAAGCTACCTTACAGACAGGAGTCAGTTTGTAGAACTAAGGCACAGAGATAACAGCCTAATAAGAAAAACAAGATCAAATTTTCAACCAATAAATCGAGGAGTTCCCCAAGGTTCAGTTATGGGTCCGGTACTGTTTATTCTTTTTACCAACGATTTGCCGCAACAAATAGGAGACGCCTGCCTTACTCTTATGTATGCTGATGACACAACCTTAGTGTTTAATGAACCACTAGCTGAAAATCTAGAAGTAAAATCCTATGTGTCACTCAGTATGGCCTACCAATACTGCTATAACAATGATCTCGCAGTAAACACGTCTAAAACAACTCAAATAGCTTTTGGCCGTAAATCTCAAGAAGTGCCACGACTCCCAGATGTAGAAGTGGAAGATGAAGCTAAGTTTTTGGGCATCACACTCGACAAGAATTTAACCTGGACCCCTCATGTGGACAATATATGTAAAAAATTAAGTTCAACCATCTATGCTCTTAAACATATAAAAAATGCAACAGATGACATGACAACAAAAGTAGCATACTTTGCACTTTTCGAGTCGCATATGAGATATGGACTTGTAGCATGGGGTGGAACCTCTGCCACTAACATGCAAAGAGTTCTCAGAAAACAAAAAAAGGCAGTCAGAATAACTGCAGGACTCCACAGACTCGACAGCTGCAGGGAAGCATTCAGGTCACTCAAAGTACTTACCCTTGTAGCACTCTACATCCAGGAAGTTGTGTTATTTGCAGTAAGAAATAACCCTACAAGGCGTGGCGAAATGCACCAACACAACCTGAGAAACACCATGCAGTACAACCTTCCACAACATCGCACGGCACAGTTTGAAAAGAAACCTTCATACGCAGGAATGAAAATCTACAACAGGCTACCTCCAGATCTAAGAAGCAAGTCAGTAGATGACCTCAAACCAGCTTTGCATCAATGGCTCATTAATCGACCTTTCTATTCCTTAGAAGAATACCATCAACAGGTCTTTGACTAAACAACACCTCAACCAAACATTTAGAAAAAATTGTAAATTGACGCTACTACTATTCTTAATGAATGTGTAAATAAAGATTATTTGTCTATTGTCTATTGTCTTCCATCTGAACCTTCCATACACCCCTACAAGCCAAGTCTGCTTTCAGTGCTGCAGCATCCAATGACCCTTGCTCAGAGATCATTGGTTCTCGAACACAGTTTCCCCATGATAGCTCCATCAAGCTTCCAAGTGTATCCCTTATCTCATTATGTCTTCTTATTATCAACCCACCTGTGCGACAGTTAAGGGCATGTTCCATATTGAAGTTTTTGCCACAGCCATCACATGAAGAGGGTAGGTGTATAGGAGTTTTCCCATATCTTAGTGTAAGAGCATCTCTGAACTTCAGTGGCGAAAGATCTAAGTTAAGTATTTTTTTAATGGAACACATGACAGCCATCCACTGTGTTTTGATTTAGTATTTGCTCCTCGCAAGATAATTCTTTATTGTTTTAGAGGAATATTTTGAATATTTTGAATTTTGAATTTTTTGTTCATCTTGGTTTAGATGAGAGCCAAATAAAGCAGGAAATAGGTTTTGTTCTATTGAGTTTTTTATCCAATGAAAATTAATGTCTTCATTTCAACAACTCTTTGAAAAAAATTCCATTCAGCTTGTATGGATTTTGTGGCAACAGCCTGAGCAGATTGTGGATATTTTTCAGCTACATTCGACAGTCTCACAAAATGACTATTCCACTTTTCTACCTTCTTTTCAATAAAGTCATTTTTTTCATTTTTGTCACATTTAACAAATCCTAAAAAACTACTCCCAGTAACAACCTCTAATCCTGATATGTTGGCTGGGTCTAATGTTGATGGTTCAGATCCAACAATCAAACGGGTTTTGTGAGGTTGTGGGTAGTAACCATATTTAGGCCCAATTTCTTGTAATTTCTCCCACCATTTCATCACATTATAAAGTTTTCCTTGGCATGATGAGTCATCTGCATACCATACTTGGTTTGTATCTGGGATGGTTTTTAATTCATAAATTAAAGGCAAAGTGGCTAATCCATACAATATCATAGACAGTGGGTCTCCCTGAGTAACGCCTTCCCTGCTGTGATATGCAGAAAACCCCCTCACACTTC